TAACTACAAAAAACAAGCATTTTTAGAAAAAGACAAGCTGTTGCTTCGTATAAACTGAGTTCCACTGTCTTCTCTGCATTCAGTGTTGTGTTTTTCTTGCAGAAAAGCCCAAGTTACCAGAAAACTACACGCAGGAGACCTGGCAGAAGCTGAAAGAAGCCGTGGAGGCCATTCAGAACAGCACTTCCATCAAGTACAATCTAGAGGAGCTCTACCAGGTATCGGCTCTGAATGGGAAGCCGGCTGCCTGTTCGCTCTGCTGGCCGATGAAACTTTCCCTCCTCTGTCTCCACAGGCTGTTGAAAACCTCTGCTCCCATAAGATATCTGCCAAACTGTACAAACAGCTGAGGACCGTGTGTGAAGACCACATCAAGGCACAGATCGATCAGTTCAGGGAATATCCTTTACACTTTCTGGTCATTTTAAACAATAATCAGTTGTTCTTTGTCTTAATAAGTTAATCTAAAACTGATAAAGTGGCATCTGTTGTGTTTAAGTACGGATGTGATGGCAAATGCAGGTTTTAGTCAAATTTTTCATGGAATAATTGTGTTGAATTTCTACAAAAATGATCAAGTTGGAAACTTTGTGCTTTTATGATTTCTGTAATTTTACACAATTATCAACAGATGGAAGAACATTTATTCATCGTCTGTTTGCAAATGATTTATATTTTTCTTTATTTTGAAAACTAAAAATAGAAATAAAATGGTCTTACCAATTAGTTTTGGTTTAGTTTCTAGTGAAAACATATTAGGCAACTTGAAATAAGACAAAACTAACTTACAAATACATTTTCAGCAAGAAATATGAACTTGTTTAATTTAGTTTAATAATTCCCTAATATTATGATTACTAGAGAAGATTATTTCACTTTATAACAAGATATTTTCCCATGTTTTTTGTGAAACAATCCTCCAATGAATCTAGCACTTTTCCATCAATATTAAGGAGTTATTAATTTAAAACAAGCCCTTATATATTGTAAGTTAGTCAAGTGTACTAAGATATTTGCACTAGAAACTGGACCATAATTACTTGGTAAGATTTTGTATTTTTCTAGTGTAAATGTTGCAGATATGATCATTTCAAGTATAAATTTGAATTAAAGTCGTTTGTTGCCCTGACCTGGTTTTTACGGATGCCCTGGACAGCGTCCTTTTCCTGAAGAAAATCGATAAGTGCTGGCAAGATCACTGCAGACAAATGGTGAGTCCATTCACTTCTGCACATTAGTTGTAACTATTAGAGTAAATTAAAAATATATAAATTTAATGAGTGGAAAAGGGGTAATAATTATTAATTTAAATGAAGAAATTTCTATAACCAGAAATCCACGATCATTCATCAATAGTTTAAAGTTTTTCTGCAAAATGTTGCATGAAAATATGAATTACACAACGTAGAAAGCAGTAGGGTTTTGTCTGTTTGAATAAATTCTCCAATTTTAGGTCGGTTAGGATTACAAAACTGTATATTCACTCAATTCCAGAATAAGGAGATAAATCTGCAAGATATTTTCTTTTTGCTGCTTCCTTCAAAGTAGAAAGTTCATATTCATTCACTTGGACAATTTTGTAAACCTCAGATTATATCCTAAATTGTTTGGACTCCAAAATACTATAAAATCTAGCAATTAATATGAGTAAATACTACAATTTTCTTAATAGTAAATATGGGTTTTTTCTTGTTCTGATCTGAGCTTCCATCACTTCTGACGTTTAGCAGTTTGGTTGCCGTTTGCGTCCAACATGCTAAATATTGCATAAACATGAAAAACGCAAGTTAAAAACATTTACTGCACTTTAAGCAGTCATTTACAATACAAATATTGCACACACTGATATCACAGTGGTAATGCATTCGCAATTTATTATTCTATATTAAATCATACCTGGTTTCAGCTGTAAATAATAGTAAAATTAATGTTTAACTTTGAGAGATTTGGAGTGATTTACCGTTTAAAAACTGATAAAATGAAACCTTAAGGTAGCTTGTACAGCTGTTTGTGCTGGCGCTCGGCCAGCCGGTCAAAGCAGAGCCTGTTTTGTGTTTTGGTGTGAAGCTGCCAGGGATGAGACGTGCTGACCCAGTCAAAAAGCTGTGAAGGAGCGCTTGTTTACGCCTCTGCACAGCTGAAACCTGAGCTCCCAATTTAACCTCCCTGACAAACTCTGACAGAAAATGACAGCTTGACCTCCGCAGGATTTTACATGTTGGGTCAGAAAAGTGTGAAAGCTCTTCTCACCTGATGTTTTTTCTCCTGTCTGGCTGATGAGCGTCTCAAACTCCTTAGGATGAACAGCGGCTCTGTTTCAAAATACTCTGTTTATTTAACTCCCAGGATTGTTTAATCACATTTTCTATCTGTGAGTTGATAGATCTGAAGTGTAACAAGACTAATTCAATGTATAGTGACTTGAGAAAGATCTCCAGCCTCTTCAACCTGTTTATATTTACTCTGACACCCCCAAATAAAACTGAGTACAATCAGTTTTCATTAGAAGTAACCAAATCAGAAAATGGATTCAATCAATTCCCTGAATTTCAAAGCCCAGCAATGTATTACTGTATGGAGACTTGAGATGAATCTGTAACAGGGGTGTCCAAAGTGCGGCCCGGGGGCCATTTGTGGCCCTTGGACAGATTTTTGTGGCCCCCAACTGCAGATCAAAAATGATACAGATTTGTTTACTAAACTTTTTAATGAATTTTTAATCCGGATAAAATTATTACAATGGAAGATGTTAAGTATTATACAAGGTATTTATCTGTTTGAAACCAAGTCTAACCAGAGACTTTTACTTTTACGACTTTGCTGTTCCTAAATCAGCTTTAATTTAATTATAATATATTTTTATTATTGTCATTTAATATATTATAAAACATTTTAATATAAGATATTGTGATATAACAGTTTTTAATATTATTATTGTTAATCACAAATATTCATATTCATAATATTATGGTTCATAATAATAATCATCATTATTAGTAATTTTATTATTTTTAATAATAATACGGTTTATTCATAGCTGCCTTTCTTGACCCTCAAGAACACATAACATCAAATAAAAGATAAAACGGTAAAATAATAAAATCAATTGAAAAGAAAGAGCAGAAGACTTCGGTTAAAAAAAGCAATTTCACATAAACGTGTTTTCAGTTTTGATTTGAAATTAATTTATTAAACTTTGCTAAGTAGAGTGTTTATTGTTTAACTATATCGGCTTTAAAAAATTCTGTTTTTTTGTAACAGAATAAATTTGTTCAACAGAGCCTAAAAGAATCTGAAAACTTGATGCTTTTCTAGTTTTAACACAGCAAACATAAAACAAAATCAGACAGCATTCTGGGAGATGTAGGCAGAGCAAAGACTTGAGCTGCTCAACCTCTCATGACCACCTGGTGGAATCAACTGACTCACTCACTCCTTGGTTACCTAGCAACTCACTCACTCCTTGGTTACCTAGCAACTCACTCACTCCTTGGTTACCTAGCAACAACTTGCTGAGTAACTGTCACAGCAGCAGTTTAAGGTTTTGCCTCATAACTGCTTAAAAATAAAGCAACAGCGTGGAGTGAAAAATGTGTATAAAACAGGAAAGATCACGCTGCCAGTTTTGAAGTATTTCATCTATCTAAAACAAAAAACAAATCAATAATTATCTGTTGACTGACATGAGAAGCTTATATCGTGATAAGTTTTCCGGCCATGTTGTCCAGCTTTATGTTTCAGACAGAAATTGAAGATTGCAGCTGACTGTCAGACCTTAAAGTTTTGTTGAGAATTTGTTTTTATTCATAACTTGTTTTGTTTTTGTCCCACAGATCATGATTAGGAGTATATTTCTGTTTTTGGATCGCACCTATGTTTTACAAAATTCTATGCTGCCATCGATCTGGTGAGTGGTGAGTGATTTTCAGCCGCTGCGAGGCGGTTCTGTGGGTGCTGAACCTGGACTGCTGTGCTGTGCAGGGACATGGGGCTGGAGCTGTTCAGGTTCTACATCATCAGCGACCTGAAGGTCCAGAGTAAAACCATCGACGGGATTCTGCTGCTCATCGAGAGGGAACGAAACGGAGAAGCCATCGACCGCAGTCTGCTGAGGAGCCTACTGAGCATGCTCTCTGACCTCCAGGTAACCCTCTGAAGGGATCCACGATTAGTGGGAACAATAGACTTTATTTAAGAAACGTTTATTTTAGATGGAAAAACAATAACACTGTAGACTGTTTAGTTTTTATAGATTTTAATAAAATATTGTCACACGGACGTTGCCATGTTGTTCACACTGCAATGCACTTTGGGTAATTGACTTGACCGACTGCGCTAGCTCAGTCCAGCCAAAACAACAATGAGTATCATCATTCAGCCTTTTCAGTTTGAACCAGATCGCGTGTAGATTGATGGGAATGTAGAAATCACAAGAGGGGGTGAAGATGAGGAGGACCAAATGGAGGAAGAGGACAGAGCTGGTGTTTGCTGCTTCTGCCTTCAGCTTCGTAAATGAAACGATGAATGACACTTAACTCTGGTCCGAATGTGTGATCGGTAATCAATCAGTCAATCAAGTTTATTTGTATGGCACATTTAAGCAACAAGGCAGTTCAAAGTGCTTTACATCATAAAAACACCAGAATACAGTCGAAGAAGAAACGGTCAACAAAACAGTTCGTCTGATGGCATCATTACACATCAGGATGTTTATCAGCGTTTCATTCATAATGTTTCAAAAGCTGCTCTTAACAGGTGTGGTTAAATCTGGATTTAAAGTAAAGTCAGGTAAGTAGTTCTGTAGCTCTGTGTCGGGTAACGCAGAGCTACAGTTGGATCGGCAGCAGTGTAGCTTCGTTAGCATTTGAAAGAGCCTCCAGCGCTGTCGGATGTTTCTCCCAGTGTTTTTCGCCCACTAGCCGGCGGCAGAAGGGTTTAGGCGCTTTGTGGATAAAAACTGTCAACACAGCATTTATTTAGCCCGTTAAGGGAATCATCACCTGTTAGAGCCTTCGTCAGTTTTGCTCATACAAATGACTCAAAGTGTTCTGGAGAAAAATGTTGAGGGTCCTGCGGAAGTTGTGTTCGGGTCTGTCCCACTTTTTTTAGTTACACAGAGTCACATTGTCTAAATTTGCACCAAACGCATTATGATGAACAACAACTCGGGGGGGGGGAGTTATCCTCCCTGTGTTTACTCTGTAGGTCCCAGTACAGAACGGATCCAAGCCTCATCATCCCAGCATGCATTGCTCCAAAAAATGGCGAACTCCATGAGTGAAAAATATAACAAAGATCAAAGTTTTTTTGAAGTATTTATGAGTTTTGGCGTTTCTCAGACAGCATTTTTCTCAGTTAATAGGAAACTTGGAACATATTTAGGCCACCATGTTCAGCTAATCGTGGATCCCTTTAACATCTGATCTTGCTGTGTTGCTTCTGTGGTTTTTGTCTGCGCACATGAGAAATGTGGATGTTCTTGTTGACAAATGGCCTTAATGGATCCTCTGCTTCCTCTGTCTCTAACAGATTTATCAAGACTCGTTTGAGCAGCGCTTTTTGGAGGAAACTAATCGACTTTACGCCGCAGAGGGACAGAGGCTGATGCAGGAGCGAGAGGTGATTTATGTGACCTCACACTCTGGAGGCGCTCACTCTTTCCTGATTGTATTTTTAGAAAAATGCAAAATGTTTCCGGGTTTTCTGCTGATTTTTTCAGCTTAGTAAATACGCAGGGAATCTGTAGCAGCTTGTCCATTGATGCTGTTCATAAAGATTTTCAATTTCTTACAGTAAATAAACTGCAAACCACAAAATCTTATCACGTATTTTAGCCTAGTTTTTAGTGCAAATATCTTTGTACATTTTAAATAAAACAAAACAAACTTATAAGTAGAAATTTTGAAGTTTAAGTTTGTTGTACGTCAGTAATTCATTAATATTGATGGAAAAAGTAGAAGTTCCAGAATATTTCACTGATGAGAAAAATGCTTTGTTTCTATAAAAATGTGTTCAATCTCTTATAAAAGCTGTAGAAAAACAAACATCAATCTTAAAGTGAATGTTGTCACATGTGTCCTGTTGAAAAATGGAGGTGGTTTCCCGTCTGTTTACATCCACGTTTGGTTCTTGTAAGTTTTACTTTCAGTTTGCAGATGAAGGTGAAGTCTTGCAGCAAATCATTTATAATTTTTATTTACCTAAATCCACTAAATCAAGAAAACATGGCTTCTTTGATGAATTCTGCATGAATGATTTCTAGCAAATTAAATATAATATTTAATATAGTATTTAAATATAGTATCTAATACTGTGTATGCATCAACTCCATGGCAACTTAGCGGATGTCATTTGTTATTTTTGTTTATGTTTTTTAACTTTAGCTTTTAAAAGCTACTAGTTAGATATAACATTACTTGATCACCGTTTTTCCTTTTAAATTCTGGCTTTTAACTTCCTGACAATATAAAGAAAACTGGATGTTTATGAGGACTTAATACTTTTGAATGTTTCAGTAAATTTTAGTGCATCTGGGTTCAGAGCTTCCTGTGGTTACCAGTTTATTTTCTTTTTTTCAGGTGCCAGAATATCTCCATCATGTCAACAAACGCCTGGAGGAAGAGGCTGACAGAGTAATCACATATCTGGACCAGAGCACACAGTGAGTGTTGGTTTGCTGCATTTAGTTTGCAGCGTGAGGCTAAATTAGATTCAGCTGTTAAACTAAGATTAATTTATTTCTCAGAAAACCACTCATTGCTACTATGGAGAAGCAGCTGCTGGGTGAACATCTCACTGCGATTCTGCAGAAAGGTACTGCAGACCCATTATTGTAGAAATTAAACATTGTTTTTCCAATTATTAAATGTCCTTCATGATTGTTTTGCACATTAGAAGCAGAAACATTTAATTTTTATTTAATTTTACGTGACATACAAAGCAGTAAATAATTGAAACCCTATTCATTGCAGATCCAGTTAATAGATGATTAACCTGCATATAATTTAGTCAAAAATAAATACATTCTACATTTAAAATAAAAAAACATGTTTATTGGTAAATATTTTCTACCCAGAATTCCTCAAGTGACAAAGCTTTTGAGCTTCACCAGGTTCAAAATCTGTAAAAAAATAAATAAAAATTAAGACCCTTCTAATTATGAATCCATTAATCTAATAAAAAAATCAGTGGATCAAACATAAACTGTATTGATAAGTCAAGCAGGAGGGCTCAACTTTTCACACGTTGATGTTGGAAATTTGTATTATTACATCAAAAATAATAAAATATAAGAAGTGAAATTATTTTTTTAGCTGCAGTCTTTGCTACAAATGACCAAGCGTTCACTAATAGAATGCTGTTATTGCAATTTAGGCAATAAATGTTTTTTTTCTTTCTCAGAAATTAAATTATTTATTTACATCTTTTATTAAAAAAAAGACTTAAGTGGTTAAATCGATTAGTTGTCAGAATGCTCTGTTAGTAAAAGAATCATTAGTTGTAGCTCCAAAATATAATTTTTGTTCTTCTAATTTGTAAAATTTAAGTCTCTCAATGAGGAAAATTGAAACCCAAAGACTTGCAGTAGTAACTGAGGCAGTTTGTTTATTCAGAGGAGCATGCCACACTTTACAGATTTATAATTATAAAAATGTTAAACCTTCTCCTGCACAATTATGCACAATTTTCTTTGTTCTGTCTCCTAAAATCAAATGGAAATACAGTGACTGTGGTTGTTGTAGAGAGAAAAAGCAGTGGATGTTTTTAGTTTTTAACCAGCTTGAGGGAACCTGACGGTGTGTCATTGAAACCTCGCAGGGCTGACCCACCTGCTGGACGAGAACCGGATTCAGGATCTGTCTCTGCTGTATCAGCTCTTCAGTCGAGTTCGAGGCGGCGTCCAGGTGCTGCTGCAGCAGTGGATAGAGTACATCAAGGTACGACCCAGAAACGATCCACTTCTTCTCTTCCAGTACCGATATCTGAGGTTTGGTATCGGCTGATAACGATCCGACACAGAAAAACAGAACTGCCTTAAAATGTTCCTTTAAACACAGACATAAATGTACTGAATTAATTTGATGACTCTGGACCAGTAGAGCACATTTAAATAAACCAACAGCTTCAGGAGCAAACATGCAAGAACAACTTTAACTTCTTCAGTCAGTGCAGTCAGGAATAAAACGGTAATAATAAAGAAACTGACAAAAACAATAAGCTGGTGGTCAAACATAAACAATAAAACTGCTACAAACATTCTTTCAAATGTTGCAGAGACTTGTTATAATTTAAAATGGATAATAAAGCATGATGTCACTCAGAGCACAAAGCATAGAATTAGACTGAATAGATTGACTTGTGTTGATTGGGTATCGGTGAGAATGTGCCCAATTTATATTTTTTTTCCAAAATTGAGACCAAGACAGACGTTAATGTCTGATTGTTGTTTCTGTGGATAAAACTAGGGCTGAACGATTAATCAGATTAATCACGACTAATCAATTATTTAAACAATACATAATCGATTGTTAACTTGAGTTTACAGACTCAAAACAAATAGCTGAAAAAACCACAACATATTCAGAGCAGTAATTAAGCTAAAACGGTACAAAATGTTTATAGTTTTTGCATTTAAGATAAAAATCCTTTGTTTACCCAAAACACCTCAGTGAGCAGTTTTAGCTTCAACTGGGTCAAATTCACTAGAAGAATGCTGTTATCGCATTTTAGTCAATTAAATGTTTATTTTCTTAATTAATAAAAGGATTTTTTAAATTTATTTGTATCTTTTAATATATTCATAGGTGGTATAATGAAGGCTTAAGAGGTTAAATAAAGCATCTTTATAAAGTGCCAATTGTTTAAATCCAGTTAATTAATCACTAGTTGCATCTTCTATAAAACACTAGTAAGACCCTGAGCGTTAACTTTAGTTTCTTATTAAGTTAAGTCCTTTGATATTTTCCCCACATGCAGGCGTTTGGAAGCACAATCGTAATCAACCCTGAAAAAGACAAAACGATGGTTCAGGAGCTGCTGGACTTCAAGGACAAGGTGGATCACATCATCGACATCTGTTTCCTGAAGAACGAGAAGTTCGTCAACGCCATGAAGGAGGCTTTCGAAACCTTCATCAACAAGAGGCCGAACAAGCCTGCAGAGCTCATCGGTCGGTAGCTGAGCTTTTCCCCCCCGTCGTCACAGCGACGCTGCAGGAGTTCATGTTTTCTGTCTGTTTTCCAGCCAAACACGTCGATTCGAAGCTGCGGGCAGGAAACAAGGAGGCGACGGATGAAGAACTGGAGAAGATGCTGGATAAGATCATGATTATCTTTAGATTTATATATGGTAAGTTAATGTTGGACTTTAAGTTCACTTTTTTAGTTCCCATGCGACATCGTGCGTCTGAACTTTGTAGCCGACAGCCATCTTGGCAGGCAGTTGCTATGACAACAGTCAACGAGCCACAAGCTTTGAACTGGCCCTCTCCTCTTTCTTACCTAACTTATAAATGATATAAGTACATCACAACTATTACTCTATTAGTCTTTGAGTTTTCTACCCTCCTCTGTGTAATACTAAGATAAATATCAGTGATATTTACTGTATTTCTTACTGCCAGGTTAACAAAATTAGCTTAGCTAATGTAGCTTTTAGCTACTAGGTAAGACGGACATGTAGCCTGAGAGACTCACTCTGCCAGCCACCAGAACCTCGATATTCAGACAAAGACTTTGTACGTCCTTTACAAATAAATTTAAATGTTGATTTTAAGCATCCATGGACTTCAGGCTGCAAAGATCCTTCATGTTGTTCTCACTCTTCCTGCAGCCATTTTGTTCATGCATCTTTCTCTCTTTGCGAAGAGCGTCCACACATTTTCTTTTTGTTCGGTCCGCTGTGCACAGCGCTCGCCTGCTAAGATGGCGCAGGTCACTTCCGGTTCAGACTTGTGGGAACTTTTATTGGAGATCAGGATCTGTAATGATTTGTTGTCATTTTAGGAAAAGACGTATTTGAGGCTTTTTACAAAAAGGACCTGGCCAAGAGGTTGCTGGTTGGAAAAAGTGCCTCAGTGGATGCTGAAAAGTCAATGTTGTCGAAGCTGAAACATGGTCAGTTCATCCTTTATAAAAAAACAAAACCATAACACTGAATAATAATTGTTGACCTCTGACTGCGTTGTTGTTGTTGTTTCCTCAGAATGTGGAGCGGCGTTCACCAGCAAACTAGAGGGAATGTTCAAAGACATGGAGCTTTCTAAAGACATTATGGTGCAGTTCAAACAGGTAAAGGAGCTCTGCATTAATGCTTTCACATGTGGCCTTTAATAAATCTAAATCCTTAAATGATCTCTAAATAAATGAGAAAAGGCTTCAAAAGATTTACAATGGAAAAAGTGACTAATTTTGCACGATACTGCAAAAGCTCTTATTCTTTAACTATTACACTACAGCTGATTTTTTTAAATTTATTTATAAGAAAC